ACTAAGATTACAAACATTATCAAAAATAACAAAAAATTCAATTTATGCAATTATACAAATATTACCTTACTTATAGTGAAAAAATATCTTAAAATTACTTCACGCTATTAAATACCCAACTACACTATAGCATGTGCGTCGCACATGCGTACACTAGTAATCTTTAAAAGAAGAGTTTTAGGTAATTTTCTCTTTATTTAATTAGATTTAAATTTGACCAATCTGTGGGCTTGCCTAGATCGGCCTACTATCAAACCCAAGTAACGTGCTCCTTAAACTTAGAATAAGCTCTAATGGCTTTTCAAGTTCTATTCTTTCGAAACACGCCATCACATGGTTTTTAACTTTCTAATTTGAAAATGAGATTTCAAAGTTTTTTTATTCAAAATTCAGATAATAATTCACCTTAAGAAATATTAATAATAATATCGTAAAATTAAATTAATTCACATCACCTCTTTCACCCCAACTCAATTTCATCCAAACACTAAAAACCACTGCCTCCCTAACGGTCGTAGCCCGTTGCCCTGTGTGCGGGAGCACCGCCGTGAGCAGTAAGGCGACGCTACTGCCATAAGCGACTTCATTCCACATATGCTCTGGTTGATACTTCATTCCACTTCTTCAACAAATTGAATCCACGGTGGTGCCAACTTTCCCCGGCAGCAACGATCTCCACAGCTCCTGCAGTGATGGATTGTTGGGCTGTGTTGATGGTGGTGGTGCGTCTATTGTGGTGTGGTTTGCCTCTGTGGCAATAGCGATGCGTTGGTGTTGGGTTTTTGACCTATGCCTATGTGGGTGGCGGTGCATCTCTATTATGTTGTTGGATTGTGTAGGTGGTGGTGGCAATGTTAGGCTATGTTGGTCAGTTGGTAGTGGTTGTGGAGATGGTGATGCTGCAAGCGGTGGTATCAAGGTGGTGGTACTAGCGATGGTCATGAGTGGTGGCTGTGGTTTTGAGGTAGTTTTTGAGATGGTTTGTAGTAGTTTTTGAGGTGGTGGCGGTGGTGGTTGTGGTTGTGTTGTTGGTGGTGGTGGTCACATGTAGTGTACACGGCACACGCGATCTAGTATCTGGTGTTTGGTGATGCTGCAATCTAGCAACGATGATGGTGTCAGAGTTTGTTATGTGATGGTATTGTGGTTACTGTGGTGGTTTTGCGTTGTTGTGGTGTGGTGTGGGGTGGGGGTTTTGCATGGTGGTGGTGCGGTGGTCGTTGGTGGATGAGAATGGGATAGGGGTGTTTGTGACCAATAAATTGGCTGATCGTGATCGATAAATTGGTTAATTTGCGACTAATAAATAAAATGTGATCGTGACTCACAATTTATTAAGTTGTGATCAAAAAATTAGTTATGACCAATTAATTTGATAATTTGTGATCGATAAATAAGTTGTGTTCTATAAAAGTTTTGATTTTGTAACCGATGAATAAATTTTAACCTATAAAAAAAATTTATTTGTGATCGAGAAATAATTTGTAATTTATAAAAAAAATTATTTATGACCCAAAAATAATTTGTAATAAATTAATTCGATAATATGTGATGATGATATAGATTTGTGACTTTAATATAT